GGGGGGGTAGAGGTCAAAAAGGACATGGGGGGAATAAATGGTGATAGAAAAAATAAAAAGAAAACTCCACCAGAGACAGAAAAATTGCTAGTCACTATTTCCTTCATCATCAGTGATTGGAAATTACCACCTTAATCTTTTTTTTTTTTTCATACCATCTTGTTTGGTATCATAGACCTCAATCTCTAGCTCTTCGTTCATGTAAAGCTTTTCAACTTCTGCATATGCCTTGAATAGCTTGATGCTGGGGCAAATGATCCCAGCAAACCAGCATCATCCGGGAGCAGTGGTTCTCAAGTGCTTGTTGGCTGTGCTTAGAATCATTTTAATACTTCTTAAAAGTATACATTACCAGGTCCCTCTGCCTGGACTTCAGTTAAGTAAATATGGGGTGAAAATCTTGTTTTTAAAAAGCTATCAGGCAATTCCAATTTTCAGCCTGGCTTGAGAATTATTAGTAGAATTTTTAGTAATTCCTATGAATTAGAATTCTACCTGGTTCTTGTCACTACCACTTAATAACTGTGTGACCTTGTGTAACCATTTAGATTTACCTAAAAGATACTTCCTTAATTCACTTCATCTAGTTATTTTAGGGACAAAATGAAGTGACTCGAAACTCCATGTAAATGTATTATTATGACACTCAATTTTTCTACGTATATTTACCTTGTTTGGGGGATTGCTGCTAGAAACTTGAAACCTACTCCCTTTGCCAGTTGCCAGTGGGATCCTGAGAGAAAGGTGCAATCAGGGAGGGCGAGGGCTTGACACTCAGTGGGGAAGTGAGACATTCCAGATCCACTATTAATGTTATTTGGATTATTTGCACAGTTTGGTAATCCTAAACACTTTTATATGTGAAAAAGAAGAACTATTAGTTCAGAATATGTTTTGTTGGAGACTTGCAAAATGTCTGATTCCTTATTGTGGCTTGGAAGTGACATGTCAATATTAACAAGGCTGGTTTGGAATAGAAAATGTCCTTGTCTTTTTGATGATTCCTAGCACTGCTTCTCCTTGGGTGTGACCCAAGCCATGACCTTAGACAGCTGATCTATCTTTGATCTGGAATTGACAGGAATTTCTTCAGGATAAACATCTGCTCCATGGGGATGTGGCAGCCAGAAATATTCTGATCCAGTGTGACCTTACTGCTAAGCTCTGTGGACTGGGCCTGGCTTATGAACTCCACACCCAAGGGGCCATCGCCTCTACTCGCACCATACCCCTCAAATGGCTCGCTCCAGAACGGCTGCTGCTAAGACCCCCTGGCATCAGAGGAGACATGTATGTTCCTGCCCTTTGGGTTTCTTCCCTTCTTGACCTGAGTGTCCTCTAGTCCGACCATGACAGCGTCTGTTGTCAATTATGTCTACAATTATGTGTACTTAGGAGTCAGACAGACTCTTAAGCAGAAACGTGACAGAGATCATATTTGGCATCTGGCTGCAATCCTTTTATGTGCCTTTTCAAGTATTCCTTCTGTATTAGATTAGCAGCCTTAATTAGGAAAGCAAAAAGAAAAATGAAGGATTATTTACACTGGTATCTCATAGAATCCTTTTTATCTGAAGGATGTGAGTCCACTTAAACAAAAGTTCAGTGAAACCAGGAATTATTAAAATAAAAAGAACTACACATACCTCAAATAATTTATTTTAACTTAAACATATAACTGGATATTCATCGATTGCTCTTTTGGAGGGGGGCTGTGGCCTTTTTATGAGGATGGACCTGCTAATTGAGGTTATATGTTGTTTCCTGTATGAACAGCATCCATAATGAATTTTCAGTTTAAATTCTGAGAAACTTGAAAACAGTTGTGAAGCAATTTGACCACAGGCATTTATTATTAGTTTTCCTAATTTTTTATGGTTGTGCCACCCACACAATTTGATACCACTTTCTTTTTAGCAGCTTATTTTTATAGATATTTTCAAAGCATTCAACCTACTTTTCAGGGAGCTAATACTTTTTTTTGTATTTATATTTAATTAGCTTGCATAATATTTGATTACATACTTACAGTGACACGTAAGATTGGCATAAGCAGGACTGTAAAGAATCACAATTGAATTTTGGTAACCAAATAACTCAATTGCTTGGAGAAGTGCATAGGTGTAACACAGACTATCTTGCTAACCATGAATATCATGAGCAGCAAAGAACATTTAGAATGTCAGTTAATATGGTGAGTCAATTAAGAGACTTCCATTGCTGCTTCATTCACATCTGCTTTTCAATAGGAGTCTAGGAGCAATAAACTTACCCGGGAAATATTACATATTACTCATTTAATGATGATATTATAGAATAGTGAAATATACATCTCTCAAATTATATTGCTTGGGGAAATATGTATTCCAATTATGTATAAAGCTTGCTCTGTTAATATTTTTCCTTGGTTTGGGCAATTAGATCTACTGAGGAAATAGTAGATAAATTAAAACCTTAATTGGCCTTGCACTAAGAATAAAGGCCAGAATTTCAGCAGGAAGGAATGGAAAGGATGAAAAATATTCAGAGGGGAATTTCTTTTTGTTCAGGTGAATGTGTTTGTGTGTTTGCATAATACACACCCATAATTTAGCCAATAATAATAAACATCTGTTAATATGAAATATAGAAAAAGGAGACATAAACCCAGTCCTCAAAGAGATTAGACTCTAAGGGGATTGGACAGAAATGCTTTCTTTCTTTTTCTAAATATGTTATTGATTTCAGAGAGAGGGAGGGAGGGAGAGAGAGAAGCATCAATGATAACCCGGACATGTGCCCTGACTGGGAATCAAACCCTGATCTCCACGTTCATGGTTGACGCTCAACCACTGAGCCACAAGCAGCGAGGCCAGAAATGCTTTCTAATGGCACTATTACTGGGTTTATTTTACCAGACACCCTCTGCTCCCCTTCGTTGCCTTCTTTATAGAGCTCTTCCTGAAAGCCTCCGATATTTAAGTGAGATCTCTTTCAGAAAGGAAGAAATGGAAATTAAACAACTTTGTTTCTTTTATAGCTGGTCCTTTGGGATCCTGCTTTATGAGATGGTGACTCTAGGTATGTACCTGTATGCAAGTATGTTTGAGTGATGGATGACATATGCTGTGAGAAGGGGTTTCAGTACAGTCTCTGAGGTTTGAACTGGTCTGATATGAAATCTTTCTCCTTTTAATTTTCTTTTGCTTCCATTCTCTTTTTCTCTTTTCCTCAACACTTTACCAATTCCGAGGATGTATTAAAATCCAAAGGATAAAGGATAATTCCAAGAGCGATCTTGCATAAACATAAAAATGTTGTCTTCAGATTTATAGTTCATATTCTAGAGGATGTAAAGTTCTCTTGCAACTCTTACTCTCTCCGTGCCAACAGGGGCGCCACCGTATCCTGAAGTGCCTCCTAACAGCATTCTACAGCATCTGCAAAGAGGGAAAATCATGAAGAGACCCAGTAGCTGCACACAAACCATGTAAGTGGCTTTTAAGGCCTACTCTTCTCTCATTCCAAATCTTTTTTGCTCCCTATCAATCATGCCCTTTTCAGAGATGATCCCCGGCTGCCCTTTATGTGCTAATGTACATCCCTATACCAAACTTATGCAGTAAAACACATTTTCTCAGATGTCATATATCATATATATACATATATACACATATACACACACACACACACACACACACACAATGTTGAGGCAACCACTGAGAACTCTGTGAGGAATCCAAATTTGGTAAACTTTAGTTCCCCCAGAAGCTTCTAAAATAGGTAAGCAGCAGACCAAATCCAATGCAAGTACAGAGTGTTTTATTTGTCTAAACATCAGCCTCCGTCAGAGACTGCCAGCCTCAGTTCTAATACAGCTGTCATAAAGTCCATGGCACTAGAGTTATTCATTGGCTCTTACTTAGTATTTAACTCTTAAAAATTATTGGCTGTTTTTCCAGCTCTGAGCACATTAGGAGCCAACCAGGAGGAGGAGGTAGGAAGAAATTTTAAAGACAGGAGGGGGAGGATCCGATATTGTCAGCAGAATGGGATAGCTGGGGAACCCATGTAGGAACCAAAGCAAAAAAAAGGAAAAATTAAAAATTACACTCAGAATTTTATAACCAATAAAATACAAAAAGGGATGGTTACAGAACGTATGAAAAGGTTAAATTATTTATGAGGCAGGAGAGAATATAATATATTAATACACATTTCCATGAAAATTATTGCTATTTTGTAACTTTTTGCAGCCTCAAAAGGGTAAATTTCAAGCTGGGTTTCTGTACAATAAACATTTACTGTATCAAGCATATTATAAATATGCTTAACTATCATAACTATAAACACACACACAGTATAGTGATACTGGCTGGGTATACTAGAACTAGAATAAAATTGCTGACAAATATTTCTTGCAGGCTTTCTATGTATAAAAGGCTGTCCTTGATACTGGGGGGAGACACTTAACTGATGAAGTAGCTAATCTTGAAGAACTTAACATTGGGTGAGGAGATATCTGAAATAACATGAAAATCATCGTAAAATATGAGGCATTAAGTAGAACAGATAAAAGCTCAGATTCATTTCAGAGTCAAAAAGACTTATGTTCAGTTCCAGTCCTGCTACTTTACTATATGTTGTTTACTTATCTTGAAAAAGGTATAATGATAATCCTACCTCAAAGTTATTGTGAGGCTAAAATGAAATAATGCACGTTAGGTTCCACTTCCATGCCTTATACAATAAGTTCTTGGTAAATGTTAGCAGTATTATTAAAGTTGCATCTTTTACAAAGTCTCATGGTACAACATTAACAAGTGTGGGAAACAGAGTGCTGAGGTCTACAAGGGAACTTTTCACAGAGGATTTAAAACCAACCTATAGGAAATGACCACAGAGAGGATATTCAAGGAATTGGGCACAGCATAAGCAAAGACAGAGCTGGGTGTTGATAACCACATCCAGTACATAGTGACACACTGACTTGGCTGGAGGAGAGGGCTTCAGATAGGCAAGGCCTATGCGGTAGAGAAGCTGGGGGGTTGGACATCAATTTCATATGGTAGGTAGAGAGAAACCACTGTAGGTTTTTCAGCAGGGTTGGGACATGATGAAAATGTTTGAAAACAGACAGCATTATACATTCTCTAAACTGGATTGAAGAAAAGATAGATTAAAGATGGTAAGTACTTTTATCTAGATTAAAGCAATTTCCTGAAGAAAGTAAATTATAAAGGGGGTAAATGACTTGGATTAATGGAAGGAAAAACCTAATTACATTATCCAAAATTAGTATGAATAATATCATTCCATAACATAAATTTTTATAATTTTTCAATTTTTCAATTGCAGTTGACATAAAATATATTAGTTTCAGGTATACAACATAGTGATTGGACATTTATGTAACTTGAAGTGATCACCTCAATAAGTCTATTACCCATCTGGAACTATACATAGTTATTACAATATTATTGATGCTGCACCATAACTTCTTATTTTCCTGGCTATTATATACCTTTTACTGGTAGATAAGTTGTAGCAATAGTCTGCAGTGCTGCAAGTTAGTAACATCTAAAGATGAGAACACAATTTCTGAAGGAGCTTTTGGCAACAGAATGGGGTGGTAGGGGTGACTGTTCTGTCATACTGATTGTACCCTGAGAAATCTTCAGTCATTCCTATTATAAAAAGTGCCCTATCGAGAAGACAATATTGAGAGATTTAGTATTAAGAGGACGAGATGAATATAATCTCTGGGAAGAATATGAGAGATAGGATAATGAGAAGTAGATTAAAAATTGCATGTTTTTTTTGTGTTAAGGTTTGTTAGGTGAGGAGACTTGTTCCTCATACATTTTCCTTGTCAAGGAAGTCTGTTTCTCGTTTCCCTTTCAGGTATAGTCTTATGAAGTCCTGTTGGCAATGGAAAGAGGACAGACGCCCCTCACTTAGAGAGCTACTGTCACGCCTAGAAACAGCTGCTCGAAATGCAGATGACAAAGCTGTATTGCAGGTACCAGAGTTGGTGGTGCCTGAACTGTATGCAGCTGTGGCAGGCATCAGTGTGGAGAGCCTCTCCTACAGCTACAGCGTCCTTTGAAGAGCCTGGGGGAAGAAACATTTATGGGTGATCATATACTCCTGGAATTCCTCTAAGGACAGAGGATGGACTTTCTAGTGGGACACAGAGGGAGAAGTGGGACATGGAGCCTGGATCTTCCCCTATACATTTCCCTAGACATGTGAAACGATGCTGGATGAGACTACATGCCACATACCCTTGAGGTTGGGAAATAGACTTATTTATGTTGTCCCAATCCTAAAGACTCAGGGTAGAAGTGGTAGACAGTGTCGCTACAAAGGAGGTTTTAGAAATCTGAAATTTAGGTGGGGTGAGGGGGCATGGCACAAATAAGCTGGCACCTCCTACCACAGGCTAGTTTCCTCCTGAAGTATGCTTTTATCTAGATAATAATAAGGTACAGAGATATTAGAATCAAATGAGGAAACAGAAAGCCCAAAAAGGAGTTGATGAGAAAGAAAATTAAAGGTTCTCTTTGCTTAGGGATATAGATGTGGACCAAGGTCATCCTTCAAAGAGAAGGTAGGGGAAAGATGTTAAGCTCCTCAGTAACGGTCCGTTCATGCAGGGCTGGGAGAACCATGAAGGAAAATATATGAATTTCCCGGTGTATAGGTAAAAGAAAGATGGTCCCCTTTTATCTAATGCTGAGGCAAGTGAACCCTGTTGATACTATTTTTAACTAGAAGCTGTAGAGGTCATTTTATGATTAAGAACATTCAACATGTATTGTTCATCAGGCTACCTTCCTGGTCCCTGTAAGACTAAGGAGACTGAGCCTAGAGAGTCAGTTAGGCTGATGGATAAAATACCATGTGTGTTTAATAAATATGAAAGGTGGAAACCAAGCAAGAATGCTTAGTAGGCCAGAAGGTCTTTAACAAGGCCTAGCAAAGTCTATCCAAGACAGAAGGATGGTAGCCTCTGATTTTCAATCATCTATTGATGTACTGTGAAACTTACTTCATTAAATTAATACTTACTGAGTGACATGAGTATTTCAGTCTTTTCAGGTATAACAGCTGCCAAAATCTCTACAGTAGGAAGGATAAAAGTAAATAAATGGAAGCTAATGTCAATAGAAAAGTTATAGAGATAATCCACATTGTCAGAAAAAGGGTAAAATGGGTATAATACTTACCTCACAGGGTTGTTGTGAGGGCTGAATGAGAATATGTATTTGTACAGATTCTGGCACATAATATACACCCAATAAACATTAGTTTCCTTTCTTTCCCCCTTCCTTACCTAGAATCTTTCATTTTTTTTTTTCATTTAAAATCTACCGTGGCCAAGAAGAAAACCTTAGTCATCCATCAATCTTGCTGATGTAGGACATGCTAAAAGACAAGAGTACAGTTCAAGCACCACATAAGTAAAATGGTGAAGTCATCATTTTTGTGTGGACTTCTGGGTGATGATAGTAATCTACTATTGTAAAATACTGAAAATACCATGATGATGACAATTCAGTTGAACATGTGACCTGTGATTTTGAAGAACACTCATTCCTGGAACTCTGGGAAGGACATCTAAGGCTGCTGTAGGAAAGGTGACTCGCCCTTGAAAATCTTGTAGAAGTTAGAATCCCGATGGAGTCATAATGAGTCATCCAATTAAATAATGATTTTTCATATGTAGGAGTACCACACGACCAGTCAGAATTTAAATGGGTGGTAAGTGGCGGTAGAGAGAGAGGAGGTTGAGTGGCTTGGCACGAAATGATAAAGTCTTATGGAATCTCATCCTTGCTTCTAGGCTGTTCATTTAAGTCAAATTTACACAATATTTATTCAAATACATGTATTTTAAATTGAATGTTAAGGACAACACCGCGAAATATCGTGCTAGGTGTTGAATAAAAGAAGCAGAGAGCTTTTGATTAGTCTAGAAAGTAAGGTACGTTACACACATATTTGTATTTGTAAATTACACGTCGTGGTAAGTACTCTGAAGGAACTTACAGGATAATAGAAGGGAATATAAAATGGGGAGCTCCCTGAAGACATGGCATTTAAATTGAGACCTTATTTTTACATGCAGTGTCTCATTTGATGCTCTCAAGAGGCCTATGAGCGTGGCAAAGTTGACTGTAGCATTTTCATTCGGTTGCTGAACACAGGGGCTTAGAGACGGTGACTCAAGGAGGCAGGTGGAGGTAGGTGCTGGGGCCGAATCTCGGGCCTTCCGACCGCCGCCCTTTACTACAAATCCCACTGAAGGTCAAAGGCCACCAACAGGATCACTCTGTGCCGGTATACGAATGATGGATATTATTTGAAACACAGATTGTGGAAAAGCTCATCTGGTCTTTCCCCATCCTTCAGAACCCATCCCGCGCAGGAGCCTTCCTCACTCCCCCAGTTTAACTTAATTCTGTCCGGTAAGGCACTGGGCTAAACCACGGGACGTTCAGTCGCTGCCACAGCTCCACGAGCCACTTACGGCGACCCTTCCTGAACGAGAGGAGGTTTCCAATGGAAAGGAACTCTTTTTATACCAGCACTGTTGGGATTTTCAGTTCCAGTGTGTTTTCAACATTTCAGACCTCTTGTTCGATGGATTTTTCCTCCATTGTCTCCGTTATTTATAGGCTTCAAGTTGCCGGGTAGCGTTGTCCAGAGGGAGAAGCCCGTGTCAGGCGGGAACCCAGGAGAAGGAGTCGCGTCAGGCCTCACGCTCCGACGCGGGACTCGGGCTTCACTCGTCCCGCCGGCTAACCGGGCGCAAGGCCACGCCCACCTCACAAAATGCCGCGAGAACTAGGGACCCGTACAGCAGACACAACCAGCAAACCTGAGTTCTAAGCCCATAAGAAAGTGCTGGCGTACTCTCACACTTCTACGCTTTGCTAATATAATATGATTTACTTTAATTTTGAAAATAACACGCGTCTATCCACAGGAAAGTGAAATTCCAAGTCGCTGCTACCCTCCCTCCGGCGCGGTCAGGCCTCTCTCGCGAGATGCGAGCCTCCACTCGGGAGCGGGAAGCAGGAGAGGCGCGCCCGCAGTGACGCATCATCCTGGGCGCTGACGTCACTGCCCGGCGCCCGGTGGCACGTTGACCGAGCCCTCGGCGGGCTTTCTGGGAACAAAAAATGGCTATGGCCAGCGATTTCTACCTGCGCTACTATGTAGGGCACAAGGGCAAGTTCGGGCACGAGTTTCTGGAATTCGAGTTTCGGCCGGACGGTGAGCGGAGCAGCGGCCGCCGCAACGTAGCGCGGCGCTGGGCCGGGGAAGCGGCGCCGAGCCCGCGGAGGAGGTGGGGTGGGCGAGCCCCTGTGGGCGGGCCAGTGTGTAGCGGGGGCTGAGGTCGCTGCGTTAGCCCAGTCAGTAGGAGCTGGAGAATACGAGAGGCTTACGTTGGTTTTGGAATAGAAGAGAATCGGTGTAAGTTCATTCAGAAAAGCTATTCCTGGCTGATACTGAATTTGAACCTACGGTGATTAGCATCCTAGAGTCAACTCACAGGAAAGGGCCTTAAAGGACCTAGTACTTGACCATTTTTAAGGACACCCCCGACATGCGGTGGTCCAATGGATGCTTAAAATCTTCCGGTGGCTAGCAACCCTCGGACCATTCATTCATTCATTTTATTCATTCAGTCGCTGCGCTCGCGTGTCTAGAAAAACCTAAGACCCGCCCTGAGGGCGGGGATTCCAACATGTTGAAAAATGAGTGTACTGATGTGTTTGGGTGTTTCCATAGGGTGCATTAAGGGTACAAAAAGAGAGTGGTTAGTTCTACAAGAAGAAGTAAGGAAAGCTTCCTAGAGAAGGTGACAGTTGAAATAGATATTTTCTTAGCTTCTGCGGGGGTGGGGGATTGGAAGCAGAATGGCATGAGCCAAGGGCGAGGTAAAACTGCCTGCTGCCCATAACGTATGCAGCAAACTTTATCTTTTGACATCTCTGATTCTTTTTAGAGAGTGTTATTGTCTATTGAACCCTTCTTGCAACAAGGACAGTCCAGCTGAGTAGACTTTTCATTTTTGAATGCTTTTTAGGTGTTGGGCAATATGAAAATATAAAAATTGAGGGCAAAGTAATGAATAAGTCTCTTTAATTTCCCACAAGGAATTATGTCTTGGTGGGTGACACAGACATGAAACTAACCATAAATCAGTATGGGTATTAAGTGCTATGTTCATCTTTGGACAAAGTTCCGTGAGAGCATGAAAGAAGAATTACGGGAGGATCACATATTAGGGAAGGGGAAGAGTATCAGACATTTCAGGCAGAACTCAAGGTAAGGACAGCCCTGCAATTATTTAGAAACCATAATAACCTTATTCTCTCTTGTGCTCATGTTTCTTCTAAATTTAGCTAAGGAGCCAATTTATATGAATTCTCTATCTGTTCCTATTTTTATGTGATACTGTTTTCAATGCCTTTGCCTATGAATAGTTTTCAGCTTGTCCATATCACTTTTAGCCAGTTACATAAATTAAGTAATCTAATGTTATTGGGGAAATTTCATTCCAGAACAGTGGTTCTCATCCCTTTATCTGCCACCACACCATCCACCACTTCCACCTCTAATAGTGAGTCACAAAGTCAGTGATTCCTAAGGGGCTTACCTCATTAGATTTACCTATCATTTTAGAGGATCAGGATCACATTACATGTTTACCTGGGTAACTGACTAACTATGAGGAGAACCATGCACCAGGGAGTACAAAGTCATGATGGATTAAAATTAAATATAGATCAGCTAACTGGCCAACTTTAATTTAGAAGCAGCACATTGGTTGTGTGCTTCCAAATCATAATTCCAGAATATTAGCATTGTCATGTTATTATACATATATTAACTTGAAGGAAAATAATTAAAAGAACATTGTGGAGTAATGGGGAAAGCATGAGTGTTGGAAGAAGGTAGATCTGGATCTGAATCTTGTGTGACCCTATGCAGGTTACTCAACTCTGTTTTCTCAACTATGAGTGAGTGGGAGAATAAAACCTTTATTTTTATTTTTTAAATGTTTTTAATTGATTTTAGAGAGAGAAGAAGGGAGAATGATAAAGATGTAGAAACATTGATGAGAGACATCAATCGGCTGCCCCCTACTGGGGATGGAACCTGCAGTCCGGGCATATGCCCTGATTGGAATCAAGCCAGTGACCACTTGGTTCATGGTTGATGCTCAACCATTAAGCCACACTGGCCAGGCTAAAACTTTCCTTTTAAGGTTGTTTTACTGATTAGATTGAATGCTCCGGGCTAATCAGTTAATACCAATACAGACATAAAAGATAAACTTTAAAAGAAATGTTTGTTCCTTTTCAGATCCCCTGTCTCAAGACATAGCATAAGAAAATGGGCCCTAAAAATAGCCTTCCCATTATATTGAAGGCATGGAGTATTTAAAAATTGTACTGAATATTTAAAAATTATATCAAAGGCATGGAATATTTAAAAAATTGACTAATTTCAACTGCAGCCAACTTACCAGCAATTTTTGAGTGTCTGCATTCTCACATTGGTCTTATGCTAGGAGGGAAGAAATATTAATAAAAGTAGTAGTATAAAATGGTCTTTATTGCCCTAGCCTGTTTGGCTTAGTGGTTAGAGCATCAACCTACAGACTGAAGGGTCCTGGGTTCGAATCTGGTCTAGGGCAGGTACCTCGGTTGCAGGCCCAATCCCTGGCCCCAGTCAGGGCTCAAGGCAACCAATTGATGTGTCTCTCTCACATTGATGTTTTTCCCTCTCTCTCTGTCTCCCTTCCACTCTCTGAAAAGCAATGGAAAAAAATATCCTCAGGTGAGGATAAAAAAAATAAAAATAAAAATGATCTTTATCTTCAAAATTGCTTACGATATCATTTCTTTATTATTATTATTATTTTTAGCAGTTTTTGCTTGTAGACTGAATTTTTTTCCACTCCCCACAGGAAAGCTTAGATATGCCAACAACAGCAATTACAAAAATGATGTCATGATCAGAAAAGAGGTGAGTTCTTTTGGAATTTCTAATTTTTTATTTAGCCATTTTCCTCATGTCTGTGTTGAATTTATAAAAGTACATATGAGGCTGTATTGTAAAGAAGAAGCCAATTTATGGATTGAAAAGGGATTCTACTTAAATTACACATAATTGTAGCATCAGTAACAACAAAAGTAGCAATCTGAATATATTAAGTTGTAGTCTCACATTTGAACATGTCATTTAATTCATTTTACAGTTAATTTGTCTTTTTACTCTATTGGCTATTTAAAATGATAATCATGATTTAAGCATAGTATGAATTTTAAATGAAAGGCTTAAAAGTTAGGGATAAGAAAAGTTCAAATTACTGTGACGTGTACTTCTATTTGTCTCTGTTCATCCCGTAGATTTTTCATTGTCATCACTAACCACTTGGAGAGATTTGAGTACCATGTTACCAAGCCAGAATCTAGGGGTCTAAAAGGGGGCTAAGTGATGTGAAGAAGGAAAACTATATGTTAAAATTAAAGGAAAGGGCAAGAGTGAAGAAAAATGATAAGGATGAATAGTTCCCATCTTGTACTTTGGAATCAGAATTAATTTTTTCTGTGATATTCTCTCTGAATATTTAGGGTTTGTAACTCCATTTTATCATTTTCTTTTGAGTTGTGGGAAAAAATAGAGAGTCATTATGAAATTTTTATTTTAACTTATTTTCAGGCTTATGTACACAAGAGTGTAATGGAAGAACTGAAGAGAATTATTGATGATAGTGAAATTACAAAAGAAGATGATGCTTTGTGGCCTCCCCCTGACAGGGTTGGCCGACAGGTTTGTATTTAGTGATTCTTTAAATGCATAAATATTAAAATTGATAATATCATTATGTTTCTCCTTATTTATTTATAATAGATACTCACTGATTCCTTAGTTTTTCATTTAGTAGGTACCTGGTAAGTACTCTTTTTTTTTCTTAGCCTTATTTTCTGTATTACCTGCTAGTAGTAAAGGAGTCGATGCATAGCTCTAAATTTAGACATTTTTCTGAACAGTCCTCTCTGTAGCCACCCCAGCCAAGGTTAGGATGTTTTTACACTGTTGTGGGTAATTTCTATTATATGTTAATTACTTTTATTAGGAATAAGTATAGGTATCTGTTAAATTCGAGACTTAACATTCTCATTGACTATGTAAAATTTACTTTCTCCAAATTTATAAGTTTGAAAACTCTTATTTGCATCTTTTGCCAATTCAAATTGACCACTGCCTTTGCCTCTCATATTCTCTTCAGAATAAGGGATGTATCTCAGAGGGCTTCTAAAGAGCTCTGAAGGCTGATTTCACTCAGTAGAAAGATGGTTTGATTTCTGAAGTGGGTCTTTTCAACTCTTGGGGAAAAGAGGTATGACTCTTGGAGGAAAAAACATTTAAATTCATTTTTGTGTGTAACACCTTTTACTAGAAGAAAATGTGGAGAAACCTTAACAGATGATGGCTCTCTGTAGCAGTAACTTAACTCTTCTATTTAAAGAAATATTTAGGAAAACAAGGGTAATAGTTAACCGTATTTATGCATTGTAAACACTTTTAAAATGTAAATTGAGATCCATTTTATGCATATGTACATATGTACTAAAAAATAGAAACCACCGCAGTAAACTGTTTCTCTCTTAAGCTGAGGGTGAATCCAGGGCTTTTACCTACCCACTCGATAATGTGGGCCTGTGCTTTGGTTACTGGGGAGGATTAAGCAAGCTCCAGAAATTGTTGGTCTTTAAGTCAAAGATTTTATGATCATTTGAGAACCTTAGTTAAATCTCCAGTTTGTGCCATAAACTGCATAATCAGGTCTTCTGATCAGTTTTATACCTGACTGTCTTCAGCGGATCTGTTACTTAACCTGAAAAAATACCCCAGATATAGCCTCTTAATTGTTGGTTTTAGATTTGCA